TCCGTATGATGGAGAGGTATCTCTGGGCCCACTCGGTAATGCATCATCATAATGAGCTCAATGTGACGAAGTGGTTGATCACGGGATCATGCATTACGGCACGAGTAAAGTGACTTGCCGGTAACGAGATTGAACAAGGTATTGGGATACCGACGATCGAGTCTCGGGCAAGTAACGTACCGATTGACAAAGGGAATTGTATACAGATTGATTGAATCCTCGACATTGTGGTTCATCCGATGAGATCATCGTGGAGCATGTGGGAGCCAACATGGGTATCTAGATCTCGCTGTTGGTTATTGACCGGAGAGGCGTCTCGGTCATGTCTGCATGTCTCCCGAACCCGTAGGGTCTACACACTTAAGGTTCGGTGACGCTAGGGTTGTAGAGATATTAGTATGTAGTAACCCGACAGTTGTTCGGAGTACCGGATGAGATCCCGGACGTCACGAGGAGTTCCGGAATGGTCCGGAGGTAAAGATTTATATATGGGAAGTCCAGTTTTGGCCATCGGGAAGGTTTCGGGGGTTACCGGTATTGTATCGGGACCACCGAAAGGGTCCCGGGGGTCCACCGGGTGGGGCCACCTATCCCGAAGGGCCCCATGGGCTGAATTGGGTGGGGAACCAGCCCTTAGTGGGCTGGTGCGTCCCCCCCCTTGGGCCTGCTCTGCGTCTAGGGTTCGGAAACCCTAGGGGTGGGGGCGCCCCCCACTTGGCTTGGGGGGGGAGCCACCCTTGGCCGCCGCCCCCTTGGAGATCCATCTCCCTAGGGCCGACGCCCCCCCCCCAAGGCCCCTATATAAAGAAGGGGGGAGGAAGGGCAGCCGCACCCCTTGCTCTTGGCGCCTCCCTCTCCCTCCGTAACACCTCTCCTCCCCGCTTGCGCTTGGCGAAGCCCTGCCGGGATCCTGCTGCATCCACCACCACGCCGTCGTGCTGCTGGATCTTCATCAACCTCTCCTTCCCCCTTGCTGGATCAAGAAGGAGGAGACGTCTTCCTAACCGTACGTGTGTTGAACGCGGAGGTGCCGTCCGTTCGGCACTAGGTCATCGGTGATTTGAATCACGTCGAGTATGACTCCATCAACCCCGTTCTCTTGAACGCTTCCGCGCGCGATCTACAAGGGTATGTAGATGCACTCCTCTCTCCCTCGTTGCTAGATAACTCCATAGATTGATCTTGGTGATGCGTAGAAAATTTTAAAATTCTGCTACGTTTTCCAACAGGAGCCGGGGTCGGGAGTTCAACGTAAAGTAATTTACTTTATAACTGCTTCGAGATTTTCATATTTCACTACCATTTCTCTTTTCAAGAACAAGCAACACCAATGATGCATGCCATGTTCATGAAGGATAAGGAGAGTCAGTTACAAGTTATGAGTGCAAAGAATATTTTCTATGGCACACAAAGGAGAAAGCGGACCGAAACCAAAGCCATACACCACAGTCGAACTAAGCTACTCCTCTCTAATGCCTGCTTTCTTCACCTAGCAAGCACCCATTGCTTGTGCATGTCTACCGCTAAGCATAAAACTATCCGCACTGTCAATGTCTTACCATCGAACACTTTGGCGTTCCTCTCTAGCCAAAGCTTGCAAAATCCCACGATTAAGATCAAAGCCAATTCCCTTGCCTTAGCACAAGAGAACCCAATGCACATCGAGCACAACCATTCTCTTGCATTGGTGTATATATATTTGTAATTCAGCTCCTAAGTCCGAAGTCACAAAGGAAGAGAAACCAAAAATTGTCTTGGCAAATGAGCACTGCACCATCAGGTGGTCGAGGGACCAGCCATGTGAAGAACCGTTCCTTCGGGAGTGCCATAACTTACATTCTTAAAAAGTTGGTCCCAATTCTCTCAACATACAAAATGTCCACCTCATCGTCCCCATTAAGGCCATGTATTTAAGTCTTCTTTCCTACTAAGTCATGCAAAATCTATCACATAAACGAACGTCACCACTAAGCTATGCAAAATCTGCCACATAAGCGAACTTATAAATTACAATTATTTTTACATTAATCTATACATGTAATGCTGTCACATCAGACATGCATTTTAGTCACCCTTCACATTTTTTTTGAAATGATATTTTGGACAGTGATTCAAAAGTTTATATTCTATTTTTAGAGACTTTCTTTTATTGATCTTTAAGCTTGTATTTTCTTTTTATTAGATTTAGTTATTTTTTAGCAACTATGTACGCATTTTTTTAACAAAGTTACAGCAGCAACGCGCGGGGTATCATCTACTCCCTCTGTTTCAAAATAGACACTTATTTTGGGACGGAGTGAATAGTTCTTGTAAAGAGCATTGACATAGTCCACTTTCTCCCTACCAGATTTCATATACATGTGTGTGCGTGTCTACATATGTGTTTTACCTACTTTTTAAAAACCTTATAGATATGAAATTTCACTATGTTACTATGTTATATTCATATGATCCTCAATTAGGAAATTCATGTTCTTGACTGTAACTTTATCTTCATCTTTTCTCTTCATATCAACAATGGTGTTAGTACCTGCTACGACGAAGAGTCGACAAATGTCAAGCTTGTCAACACATCATCCTCGCAGCGCAAAACCCTTATTCTCTCTGGCAAAGGTCGCGTGGATACCCGGTGGCTACAGAATAAACGAGCATTCACACCATGAACATTTCTTTAGAGCCACGCTAAACGGAAAATGATTTGTCACTGGAGTAGTATGTGCGCTGGACGACGAGGACGTCCAGTATTAACAAGGAAACAAAAATTTCGATGGTTAGGAAACAAAAACATGTACAAAAATTCGATACTAGGTATTAGATACTCGTATTAATTAGTTAGAAAACAAAAATAGAATGTAATATTTCAGAAAATATTTTACTGAGTTTATATACCCATGTATGTACATAATTTTGTTAGTAAGTAATATTACATACCCGTATTAGATAGTTAGAAAACAAAAATACGCATATTAGATACCCATAGTAGTTCGGAAAAAAGATCAAACATTAATACGATTTATTGTATGGCAAGTTTTGCATGTGTAATAGTAAAAAATGGAAATAAAATGAAAGTATGGAAAGTCTTGCATGAAGAATAGTTAGGAAACAAATCAAACAGTCATATTTCATTATGTTACTATGTGTGTTACCTACTTTTTAAAAACCTTATAGATATGAAATTTCACTATGTTACTATGTTATAATCGTATGATCCTCAATCAGAAAATTCATGTTCTTGATTGTAACTTTATCTTCATCTTTTTTCTTCATATCAACATTGGTGTTAGTACCTGCTACGACGAAGAGTCGACAAATGTCAAGCTTGTCAACACATCATTCTCGCAGCGCAAAACCCTTATTCTCTCTGGCAAAGGTTGCGTGGATACTGGATATCCAGTGGCTACAGAATAAACAAGCGTTCACACCATGAAGAACAGAACATTTCTTTAGAGCCACGCTAAACGGAAGATGATTTGTCACTAGAGTATGTGCGCTGGGCGACGAGGACGTCCAGTATTATCAGTGGCCGTCGATAGTCAAGCAAGAGGATTTTTCTCTTTTAGTAAGAAAGAAATGCGAGGCCGTTGAGCTACGCCCGCATTTTTTTGCCCAAACAATTAGGTGCCTGCATGGAGCAGGATCATTTTCTTTTTGACGAAGGGAAGTAGTAGTAGTAGGACCATGTGGCACCGTATAACAACTCAACAAAACAAGATAGAGGCCAATGATCTTTTTTTTTCTTCTCTTGACAGTACAGAAGCCAATAAGCTAACTGAGCCGCCAGCTGGAGAGCAAAGTCGCGATGAAAGAAAGGGTCAAGAAGCCACATGCCACACCCAGCAAGCATACGGCATCATGGATGGATGCTTTCGCCTGGATAGTTTGTCCCACGGGCAACCATTTGTCCCTGCCGCGAGCGATGCATCTTCTTTACAAGCTTTCGAGTGTGACTCGTGGCCAGTCACGGCCCTGTGATGTGGAAGAAGGCGTCGTGGACAGCTTTGTTCTCGCCTCGGTGGGGTGGGGATCGATCCCACCTCGAAAGATTGGGACGATCCGGTGGAGGAGCACCACCGAACGGGGTGGGGCCCAGCCGTTATCTGCTCATTTCTTTACTCCTCCTTTGCAGCAGAGAGCAGACATTAATTTACGGTGCAGGCGAGGCCGGGCCAAAGTGCGTGACGCGCCCACTGTGGCCTTTTCTCAACGCGATCCTCTACGGGCACGCTCTGCTGTGTGCCGTCTGCCGTGTGCTCCTCCCTACGGACGGAGGGCCCGCCCGACAAGCTCCACAGCGCTGCCCAGTGGTGGCCACGTTCCATGTTCCAGAGAGGGCGCCACGGCTCAGCTCACGCCGACCGATGCGGTGCCCCCGCCTCGACAACGACAGGTCAAAAGCATTCACCGCACCATTTGCGAGCCCGTGGTGCGTCGGTACGTGCCGTTGCCTGCCAGCACAGTACTCGTACCGCTCGTCTCCTTGTGGGTATGACCGTAGGTAGACCCGACTGATGAGTCACGTCCGAACCGTGCATCAGCCATGCCCAACTGACGGACGGCAGGAGGCGAGGGCACCCGTCCCATCGCCAGTCGCCTGGCGCCTCCGTCGCCCTACGCCCCTACCCTACCCTACGCCACCCAGCCCAAACCGCCTCTCCCGTTTGGAAATGGATCGCGTGTGCCACCAACAAAATGCGGCCCCCTAAATAAACCACCAGCAGGAACTGCCCGGCCCAGGTCGGCCTGGCCCGGTCAACGGACGGCGCAGATCGCCCATCCTGGTCGCCACGGCCGCACGATAGGTCACCGGAGTCCAGACGGGGACTGCCCGGGAACTTCGCGGAAGTCACGCCCCACGCCCCGCCCCGCGCCCCCAGATATGGGTTATAAAAAACAAACCAAAGGCGGAAAGAAATGCTAGTATAGTCCACCCATCATTATTATTCGGCGTTGGTTGCGTCTTGGTTGCGCGGAGAGGCAAGCAAGGGATCTCGCTCTGTCAGATGAGATTGGTTGGAGTCTCGGAGAGGGACTGGTGCGGAGGAGCGAGCCACCAGGGATTTCATTTCTTCGTCTCCGGAGGCCTGAGGCTGAGTGGGTGCCCCGTCGCCGTCGGCCTACGCTGCGCGCTCTCTTTTTAATGCCCCGCCGTCGCACTCGCCTCGCCTACGCACCCTCCTCTTCTTCCACTACTACTACTACTTCTCCAGCCCGCTAGTTGCCGCGGCACTGAGCGGCGGCGTCTCTTCCGGAGTGATCAGCAGGTAACTTTGAAGTAAGCTTGTACTAGTATATTTTCCTCGTCTTATTTCGGCGGTATGAGATGTTCTTGTTGTTGTTTGTGAGTGAGATTGGATTCGTCTTTCTAGATCGATCTTCCGCCGGGACTCGGCGGTTACTTCGACTGTTTTCTTTTGCGGGTTAATTGCTGTGGTAGTTCTCTTCTCCTTGGTGAGATTCGTGAACTCCTAGTGGTATAATGGGGGCGCTTCGCTCTCACGCAAGCGGCAAAAGCCTGTGTGAATTGCCCGAGTTTTCGGTTAGTCCTCTTGGGCGCAACACGGTAGCGTGGCAGCCCAGTTCTCCGGATTCTGCTGCGCTTTTACTCTCTTTTTCCGCCGACAGTTTGTATCCAGTGTGAAATTGCTTATTTAGTTATGATTAACAGTATTATCTTGAGATGTGCTCATCCTGTCTTATGAATCGGTAGTATTCATAAAGGAATTACCACTTCTTCTTGGATGATACTGGTAGATTTGCAGTAAGTATGCCATCGAGTCCATCATTAACACCTGGTAGATTTGCCATGCCGTCGGTCCACCATTTAACACTTGCAGATTTGTCCGTGCCTTCTGCTCAGCCAATTCTCTGACTCGTTCTCATGAAAAAAGACTTGTCGTGTCTTGGAAGTTAAACAATTAATTTACCCTTGGTGTTGCAAATAGACAAAGGGATTTTGCTCCTGTATGCTAGTAGCAGCTTCTTAGTAGTATGATCCACCGTACCATCTGCCTGGCTATCCCCGGTTGGTATGCATTACTTGTGCCTTTCTGTACCTACTGTTGTTTTCTGCCTTTTTTGGGGGGAGACTGACTTCAGTTTCTACCAGAGAAAACAGGTTATTGTCTGCCTATCTACCACACAGCAAGATGTCGGTAGCCAAGAAGGACGAGGTACTTGCAGTTTCCTCATTGAATGTTAATTCTAGGTTGCTTGGTTACGCGGCTTTCCATCTCTGTATGTACATAAATCGTCGATGTTTTGTGAGCAGGTTTGCGGTCATCCGCTTGGGCTGCGATTGGGTGAGCCGGCTGCTGGTGTTCCCATTAAGAAAAGGCCGGTTTTCTTATCCGACAAATCAGTTCCATCTGGAATGACACTCTCCATGAAGCCCCCATCTACTCCGACGGGGATGTCCGTCTCGGCTCTGGTGGCTGGCTTTAGCAACGAGCCTGTCTTGAATAGATCTAAATCGGATATTCCCAGTAGATCTTTTACTCCGTTGACGAACGAGAAGAAAGGCGTGCTACTTAATGGCTCAAGCGAGATCCCCTCTCGTGGAGAGAGTGGTAGACTAGGGAGTGCTGCTCCCGTTGCCAGATCACAGAGTCACAAGTTTCTGACTTTGGATTTACAGTTAGCGTCTCGTCAGAATGTCAAAATCAACTCTAATTCCCCTGTCAAGAAAGAGAAACTAGATCAGGGGTTTTCTATATTTCCTTCAGCAAGACCTCCCAAGGATGTGCAAACAACAAGTGGCATGGAATCTTCTTCTAACTCTAGCTTGGGAAAACTATCTAATTTAGATCTTAATGTATCACTGGACCCAGTTGATCAACTTGAAGGTTTGCCTACAATGCAGGCTGGCTTTAACATACCCCATCATACAACAATTCAGCATCAGAAAGCACAGGTTCCCCCAGTGGCACCCTTTTCTTCAGTAAGCAGTCGGCTGAGTCTAAATATTGACAATACTCTGAAACCGTCAAGTGCATATCAACTTCCTAATAAGAGTGTGGCAGCTGATGTTACCTTAGATTTGCAACTTAAACCACCAACCAGACCAGAGCTTGGAATAAGCTGGAAAGGCCTTGCTCCTGATCCAGAGCTAAGCCTCTCTCTATCTGGTAATCACACAGATGAGCCTAAGGGTCTGAATGTTCCTGATGCTATATTTACGTCTGAACCTGTTGAAAGAGCCAATAAGATCAGCCTGGAGGTTCCTGCACCAGTCTCCAATAAATCACCAGCTGAGAAGATTTTGAAACCTATGGCGTGTAATGTAAATCCTCACACCACCATGCCACAATCAGTTTCTGGAAATGTGGAGATAATGCCCAGTAATTTGGTGAAGAAAGAGCCTGGAGAACCTACACGGCGACATATCCAGAAAAATGTAGAAAAGGCACCTCTGTTCGTCCAACAAAGTGTTGGACAGGCTAGCAGTAGTGCTGAATTTGAAAAAACTGGCAACCTAAACCAAGTGTGTGGTAAAGCTGGCTTTGATTTGTACTCTGGAAAGTTTCCAAATGGTAGTGGTGTCCGCAATGGATTGGAGGTAGTGACTGATAGTGTTCCTGCACAAACTGACAAGTTGTGTGGTGTTGCTTGCACTGAGAAATTTATCAAGCGTGAAGAAGTGACAACTGCCATCCCAAGCCCTGTGATTGCAACAGTAAGTGGTCAGTCTGAGTCATTAATTGCTAAATCACTGCATTTGGAAGGTAATGTTGCCAGCCCTGTTGCTGGATTATGTGAACCAGCTAGTCAACCCACCATTTCTGCTTCGGGACCTGCAAGCTGTAATCCTGTTAAAGCTACTATTGATTGTAAACCAGCAGTTAATCAGATTCATGCTCACAAAAATGTGGCCCGGAAGCCTTGTGATGTATCCCGAAGTTCCTCCAACCCTACAGCTGAACCTCTGGTTTTCAATTCTCTGCACCGTGCTGTACTTGATGGTATGTCCCAAGGAAGTGCTTCAATGGACTTTTCAGAGGATGGTGATAATGCTGTTTCACAGCTGCCTACTACCAATAAGCCTCGTGTTGAGTCATTGGGTAATAGTCAAATTACTGAGGTTAATAACTTAATCACAGAGCCGCGGAAAGAAGGTGATAGTAATATGCATCATGACTGTTTGTCCGTGACAAATAAGGTTCACATTCAGGGCACTGATGATGTGAAGCGTGTTAATACGCCAGATGTCATTGCCACCCATTCAGGTGAGGAGGAGCATGAAAGTGAGGTTTCTGTTAATGGGAAAGCCAAAGACAAACAATTGTTGACATCTGATAAGAATTCCCCACTGACTAATACTGACATTACCATGGAAGATGTTAAGATTTCCGCAGGTGCCAGTTCAGCAGATCTTACAAGATCACCTATTTTGGGAGCTTCAGGTTCCCATAAAATAGATTCTACGAGGCAATCTCCCAAGACATCTGATAACACTGTCGAGAAGTGTAGAATCCCAGTGATAAAATCTGAAAGGAGTCAGTCTCCTGATGGTAAACAAGCTGCTAATTGTAGCGAGGATAATACAAAAATTGCTGCTGTAAAGAGTGAGCATGGGACAGAAAAGGAAGAGATTGCTAGAGGCTCTAATTTACAGCCAAACGATCCAGTTTTGGGTGAAGATTCACTTGTTGACAGAGCTTCGACCAGTCAACTACATAATGAATCTACAGAGGTAAAATCGACAGGTGAAAGATCAGAACACGAAAAATCCAAACCTGACTCTTGCATGACATCTTCTGTACAGAATGAAAAAGATGGACAGGTTAATGGGTCGCATTGGCGAGATGTGGCAAATGCTTATGTTAATAGGTATGATCCTTGTCATTCTTTTGTTTTCGCAGTCATGTTGCATGTAGCATGGCTTGCTTTGCCCTGTGCGTATTTATATTTGTTGGTTTTATCCTTGACTCTTGTTACAGAAGGTTGTCCTCTTTATTTTTCTTTACAGGAATGAAAGATGGGAGAGGTTCATGCAGTCTGAGCGAGAGAACAATAGAGAGTTCCATGGTGGCAGAGACATGAACAATCAACGGAGGATAGACCCACGTTATCGTGGTCGTGGTGGTGGATATCATGGCTATCCAAGGAACTTCAGGGGTCCAAGAATGAGCGATGAGTCTGAAATTGACTTCGAAGATGAACCTATTGTTGGCAGAAGGAGGCCACATGAAAATGACTACGGGCACTTGCACCGAACTCAGCATAGGCGGCTGCGTTCACCACTGCATCAGATGCCTGGCTGCCTCATGAGAGAAATGGAGCATGACAGATTTTCTGGGAGAGAGATTATGGACCCTAGGCTGTTGGATCACGGGCAGATGGATGATGTCCCAGATGACATGATGGAACAGAGGTTTTTCATGCCCCATCCTCATTCACAGCACACTCTAGGTGATCATGCATTTATCCACAGGGACAGGAGTCATTCACCTGGTCAAAGAAGGGGCGCCCCCGTGCATTTCCACCGGGGACGGTCCCCTGAAACCATGCACAGATCACCACCACTAAACAGAAGTGACAGACCATACTTACCTCATCAACGCCACATACGACGCCGTGGTTCTCCATTCGACCGAGTAGGACATGACGAGAGAGGTATGCAAAGGAACATGAAGCGGTGTGGCATGCATCAAGGTGTGGAAGGTGAGACCTTTGAGCCACCTTTACATCCCGCTCAACTAGCCGTGCTACATGCAGAGGCTGAGCTTACAGAGAGAAGGAGGTTTGGGGAGAGGAGAGGGTATCGTCGATCCTTGGAACGGAGCCCCATGGGCGGCGACGAGGAGATGCTCTCATACCACCACGGCGATGGCGACATCGACTTCGCCGATGGTGATGGCGGTCCACGGGAGCCTGATGGCCGTGGCTTCAGGAACAGAATGGAGCACCGAGCAAGGGGCGAGCAGGAAGACGGCTTCAGGTACCGTGGCCCTCAGGGGTGCCGTGACGGCAACCCGAATGACAGTAGATCGAAGAAGAGGAGGTACTGACCTAGCAAGGGATGGATGAATGCATCTGAATCTTCTACCGACTAATACATAGTGGCATTTTGATTCAGCCGTCGTCGCTTCTGTTAGCCAAATCAAGAAGTGTTCGCTGACCACACCCCCCCTCTTCCTACATTGGTTTGTTTGTTGCGTTCTTTCTCAGGAGATATGCTGCAGCATTAATAACATCTACAGTGATACACATGTTACACTGATGAGATGATTGTCATCGGCTGGCTGCATCTTTCGATCCTGGTTGGCATAAGCTGAAGCTAGCATGTCAACATGGAGGACAGTTTTTGCCAAATCTTCAAACTAAACGAGAGATGGCCTGAAGCTACTTGCAGAAGTGTCTTTATCTATCTATCCGGGCTTGACCTACTTGCTGCACGGTATTGGTAGGGCGCCCTGTATTAAAGCGACTTGTCTTCACTATAGTTTGCCTAGTTGTTGGTCCGGAAAAGCAGATGGGATACGGTACCGCATACCCACCCGGTTTGGATGTGGTTTAATTAGGACTTGTTGCTGTCTTTGGACAAGACTTTTTACCTACTGTTTATTAATGGGTGTGACCTGCACCACCGCCACCGGGCAATTTGCATCGAATAAAAGTCCGCGGTGTGTTCGGCATTGCCCTTTTTTCTAATGGTGCAGTGGAAAAGTAAGCAGCAGCTCATGATGGATGCCCGTCTTGTGCGTTATAGTCAAGTCCACCTGTGATCTGTCCATGTGGAAAAACTGTGTTGCGACGATGCGTATCATTGGTTGCGCTGCTCGCCATACGACGTGCCATTGGCTGGTCGCCTGTTTGGCGCGGGCCAGGCCGTGGAAATTATGCCCAGCTCTTTGGATGGCGTGGTTGAGCTGTGGATGAGAGTAGACTACGCAGACACACACCATCATTCATGTCCCCTGCGTTGGGCAGAATATGGTCCGCGTAGCAAACGCAGTCACGGACGAGGACCAACGGCAGCGTTTGTTTGGCTCCTTGTTTGTCCATTTCGTGGAAATTCTGCTGTTTAAGACGATCCGAGAGAGAAAATCTACAAGTGCAAGCACACATCATCACATCTCGGTAGCAATGCCCCAAAAATAACCTCAACAGCTATACACGGCAGCCTCAACAGAGTTTCTTCTCAACACAGTGGGGAACTTCCATCCACGAAAGAAATTCAATCTCATCTCACGTAGTAAAAGAAAACGAGTGTGGAAGTGGGGTAAAAAAAAGGTCAGGCGATTGTAAGAAAACATATTTTTTTGAACTCGCGTGGTTAGGCAATTTCAGTTTTTACAGCACTGCTCGGCAACTTATAGGAGGTTGTAAATAAATTACAAAATGGAAGCATCCTACGGACGAGACCAAAATCAACCAAGAAGAGCCAGTAGCTTATTCGCCGCTCGTCGGCGCCTTGGGCGGCGCCGGCGCCGGCCAGACGCTGATCCGCTCCTTCTCGTACTTGACGTACACGGTGCCCGCCGCGACGATCGTGTACACCTGCAGGAACAGCGTGGGCGCCTGGTGGTACTTGACCAGCGACTTGCCGGAGCCGAGCTCCACCAGTAGCAGCGCGGTGAGGCCCACCGTGGCCAGCAGGCCGTTGAGCCGCTCGCTGTAGGCGGTGAAGCCGAACTCCACGGGCAGGCCAAGCGCCGACCGTGGCTCCCGCAGCGGCACCGGCGGCAGCGTGACGGCGTTGGACTCGGCGGCGGCCTTCCTCTTGCGCGCCCCGGCGCTGCCCCGCTTCTTGGGCCCGACGCGGGACTTCAGCTGCAGCACGCGCTTCTCGAACTCCTCGTCGGCGGCGGGGGCGGTGGCGACCGGGGCCGGCGTCTCCGGCCCGGCGGCGTCATCGCCGGAGCTTGCGCGGAGGGGAGGCAGCGGCGGTGCGTGGAGGCGGCCGTGCCAGAGCGGGGCCCGGAGGGTGGTGACGGAGAAGGGGCTGGAGAGCGGCGTCGCCATTGCTCCCTTGGGCGCATGTGTGCACCAGCACTTCATGGTCGCGCGGCTGCTTGCTTGGCTCCCCTCCTGGTTTGCCGCTGGTTTTGGATAACTTTCGGTGGTCGATGCGTGGCTCCGGTGCATGCACGGGGCCTTGAAAGCTGCCGCACGTTGCAAAATGGAAATTGTAGGCGGGGATGTGGAGTTTCTACAATCAGGAGCATTTTGCTCCTGGTTTGAACTGTAAAATAAAAAATAAATAGAAAGAAGAATTCAAAATATTCTGATTTTTTGGCATGCTTTCACAAATGTTTGTTGTGCATGCAAAAATTCACCGCGTAATCACATTGGTGGAAGACGTGGTAAAAAAAATGATGCCTTGAACATGTTACTTACAAAAGCATTTTGGAGCTATGATTTTGTTGTTTTGGCACGACTTTCACCTATGTGATTTCGTGGTGAATTTTTGCATGCACAACAAAGATTTGTTAAAGTATGTCACCAATAAAATTCAGGATTTTTTTTACTGTTACACCATGAGCATTTCTCCTGGGTGTAGAAAGGTACTTTGGCGTCTCAAGTGTTTGTTTGAGAGAAAATTGGGAGCTTAAAAATAACAAGAACATTGGTGTGTCATTACAATCATGGTTGGCCACATCTAAGTACAGAATCTCGGGCCAGCTGAAACTTTGATGGGCCTTCTCCTCTCCTGGCCCGTAAGGCCTTGTACAATGCAAGGCGTTTATAAAGATTTTTATTTATTTTAAAAAAAGGCAAATAAGGCTTGCGTTGGACGCGAAGCAAATTATCAAGGAGATACATGAAGGCATAAGGAGCAACAATGATAGCATTGTAAGGGAGACCAAGCAGCAAGGAGCCAATTTTAACTGCAAATTTACCTTTGAAGGACGAACGACAAATAAAGAAGCAGATAGTTTAGCTAAGTTTTCCAACTCTGTGGATGAGGGATGCCATGTTTGGTTTCAACCCCACGATCCTTATTGCATCCCACTTCAAGTGGTATTTGATCAATAAAATTTAGTTTCCCCCCTAAAGAAACTAAACAGAGATACATCATCTACGAGCTTCTCACCAGACACTCTAGAGGCTCGACAATCCAACTAATAGAAACTTTACTATAATAACTAAAGTTAGCTCCAACTAATAGACACTTTATTACAATAACTAGAATTAGGTAGCACATGCGTCGTTTGATTAGTTGAACGAAAACAATGCTTAAATCTGACCTTCTCGACAGGTACTAATGTCCACGCATTTCGCAAAAATTGCTGCCATAGCATCCCACCAAGTATTTTGTCTAGAGCAAAAGTTGATCACACTTAGGGAATCGGAATCCGCTTCCAGGCGCTGAAATCCAGATTGTTTGCCAAACTCAGTCCATCTCTCTTCGCCATTGCCTCAGTAGTCATCACATCGGTTGCATAAGGAAATTTTACATTGAGTTGCAAGGAAGGTACCTTTATCATGTCTAATGATAGCTGCCATAGCTCCCACTCCTTCCTCAACAACGAAAGTCTCATCAACATTGAGCTTAATGAATTTTGGATCTGGCTTCAACCACTTTGGCTCATTTGTTTGAATAATTTTCATTGAAGCTTTATGGTAATTGCTCATGATAGCTAGAA